ATGTTCTCATACAGAATCTCAAAGAATTATCAGAGGAACCTGGTGTACCAACGAAGTAAAAAAAGCAATTGAAAAGGGGTACAAAATAATAACTATTGATGAYGTTTGGCATTTTTACGAAAAATCATCAAATTTATTTAAAGGATATGTGAAAGCGTTTATGAAAATTAAATTAGAAACAAGCCCTTGGCAGGATGATTTTGAATCAGAAGAAGAATATAGAAAAGCTGTAAAAGAAAATTTAGGTATTGAATTGGGTAAAATAGAAAATAATCCTGGAAAGAGAGCTGTTGCGAAAATATGCTTAAATTCCTTATGGGGTAAATTTGGGCAAAGACAAAATATGGGTGCAACAGAATATGTTACAGATGTTAAAAGGTTTTATGAAATTTTATTAGACGATAAACTTGATAACATACGCATAAACGATATAAATGAAAATATGTTACAAATTGATTATAAGTTAAAAGATTGCTATATAGAAAATGATTTCAATACCAATATATTTATAGCTGCTTTTACAACTGCAAATGCTAGACTAAGATTGTACGAAATGTTAGATAAATTAGGAAAAAGCGTACCATATTATGATACAGATAGTATTGTATATATAGATGATGGAAAAAACACTGTTAAAACAGGCTGTCTATTGGGAGATTGGACAGACGAATTAGGTAAAGGCGTATGGATAATAGACTGGATATCAACAGGCCCAAAAAGTTATTGCTACAAAACTAGTACAGGTAAAGTTGTTTGTAAAATAAAAGGATTTACATTAAACTATGAAACGTCCGAACAGATTAATTCCGATAGTATAAATAATATTTTAGAATATAAAGACAAAAAAATTAGTACACAATATAATCGAATTACCAGAGATACCAAAACTAAAGAACTTTTAAATAAAATAGAAACTAAGGAATTTGGTTTTGTTTATGACAAGAGAGTTATTCTAGAAAACTTTGATACAATACCGTTTGGATATTAATCCTTTATTTACAGTGAATTAACTTGTTATAGTTTTTGAGACACATTAAATAAAAAAATAATAATTTTGAAGAAGTTATTTATCTATCGTTTTTATTCCATCATAAGTATTACTTATCATACTAATTGGAAATTTAATGTACAAATAATAATTGAAGACTTGTTAAGGTCTAATCTATTTATGGGAAGTTATAAATCTTTTGAATTTTGAAAAATAAATAAATTGCATGCAGCAATAGTGTTAAATTGTTTGTCTATCTCGGAAAATTAATTAATTGTCCTTATTTTTAATTTTAAACCACTTTGGATATACAAGTTATGGTAAGACGATGTAGGGAATTTTTTATTGAAAAAGTAATTTTCATGGTTCACAACACGGGGTGAACTAAAAAGGATCGCGAAGTGGATGTGTGGGTTGGAGTTTTTAAAAAAGCAGTTGCGCTGGATTCCGTTAACCCAAAGTATGATGGATATTTTTACAAAGAAGATTTAACTATTGAGGATATATCAATCGATGAAATAAGGCTGGATGTAAGGGGGGAGACCAGGCAGTTCATATTAAGATTTCCGTCGCAACAAATGAAACAAGAATTTTGCAATAATGCTGTGTAAGTAAATTTTCTCTATTATATAATTTATAACAGCTTAAGGTGTTTAACAAAACACAAGAAAAAATAATTTATTAAATAAAACAGATGTGAATTTAAAGTATATTATTTTATTACAGTATTAAAAACAACATCTTGTGTTTGTTATCATCCATTATATATATCTAATACAAACTGTAACTTTTTTTTGTAGGTGCAAAGAAGGAGTTAGGGCACCATGCCCTTCGCCATCTTCCCCGTCGCCGTCACCGTCACCTCCCTCAACAACACCGTCGCCACCGAAATCATCTTCATCATCATTGATGTCAGAAAAATTATAAATAATAATTTGAAATAAACGATTAAATAAAGTTTGTTGGAATTTCATTATTTATAGAGAAACCACAATGAGGACTTTACCTGAATTTGTTTGAATGAAGCTGTATTCAATTTTGTGCTGAAGGAGCCCACTGCTTTTCAGTTTACCCTTGAAAAAATTGGGTTATTTTTTTATCAGGCGAAGCACTAGTCCACGGAGTGGATGTCTACCTGGAAAATCAGGGGTTTTGTTTGAATTTTTGATGTTTTTTTTTAAACTACCTGGAAATCGGGGGTATTTTTATGATTATTTGATGTGTTTTTAAACTACCTGGAAAATCCGGGTGTTTTACCTTAAAAAGTGCTGTGTGCTGAAGGGGCCCACTGCTTTTTATTTACCCTTGAAAATTGGGGTATTTTACCTTAAAAAGTGCTGTGTGCTGAAGGGGCCCTTATAGTAGTAACAAACACTAGAATTCAATTAAATTAACACAATTTAGCTCGTTTTATACAATAAACTATGTGCAAAATTATACAAAAAGAGAATTTTAAGTAATTTTACTTACACAAAAATCGTCAACCCAGTGCAATTAGTACCTGAGGAAGCGTCGTGTACAATAAGACCACCCACTTTATCACTTTCATTACAATTAAAAAATAATAATAATACTATTAATAATAATTAAATACTTTTTCATTTCTTTTAAGTTATTTATCTACAATAAGTTTGACATTTTAAGCTTGTACTTGCCTAGACATTGCGCCATGCATGGTAATAATTCTAGAAAAGGCTTAGATAAATTGGTGGAATGTTATTAAAATTTCGGCAAAGCTTAAAATGTATTGGAGATGTTTAGGAGCTAGGCGGCTTGTTGACGGGTGAATTAATGCCCAGGGCGTTAAACAGTTTCGTTTTCAATCCGCCCTTTTCCATGTCGGGGGTCCTTGCAGTGTTTGGCTGCCAAAAACAACAACAACATGTCAGAGCTGTTGATTACACTACAACTACGTTCGCGGCGCAATCAATTTTCAAAACCGACTTTTATGGAGTTGATAAATAGTGTGTACACGCCAACTAAAAGTGATGAAAAGCTTCGGACACGACTTACCTTAAGCGAACAAAGCGAACGGTTAAACAAGCGATTCGGTTCGAACGGACTTAATGAGAGTGGTCTATAATACGTACCTCATCTCCGTCGTACGACATGTCGAGGGATTCCCGGGAACCACGACGCGAGGATTTGTCTTTCACGCTGCCAACCTTGCGGCGGTCCATGTCACCGAGGATGTTTGCCACTTTGGAGTGCTTCACGATATCCAAAGCCTGCTAAAACGCACGAATTCAAGCGGATCAAATCGAAAAATAGCTTTCAATCAAAATAATTCCAAGACATTATTGTAAATTTTGAAACAGAGAAATAGAAAATGTACAAAAACAGGAAACAAACAGCCTCATTCGACTTATGCATACATAATTGGTATAATTTCTACAAACGTGTAACTGTAAAAAAAGCGCTTAATGAAGCATTATCGATTTTTTAGTTTTAAATTAACAAATTTAATGAAAAAAATAGACAGCAATAATAGCACCAACTGTAATAAAAAATTTTGAAAAGCAAAGTCCGTTTTTGTTATTTATATTCGTTTCTCCTACTTTTTTCTCTTGTTTACTTCGTGACTTATCAGAAAAAGTGATTTTTATTACAAACTTAGTTTGTCTCATTATGAATGGACTTTTAGAGAATATTGTCTTGGAATTTTTTGAAAAAGAAAAACAAGCAGTGGCAAAATTTAAGCACTTACTTGTTGCACATGCTGCAGCATAAACAAAAGAAAAACCGATAAATCACCTAATGACTCAACCCCCGATCACACGCACCTCTTTCCTGCTTCG